AGTTCTTTGTAGATTCTAGATATTAGCCCTTTGTCAGATGGGTAGATTGTAAAAATTTTCTCCCATTCTGTAAGTTGCCTGTTCACTCTGATGGTAGTTTCTTTTGCTGTGCAGAACCTCTTTGGTTTAATTAGATCCCATTTGTCAATTTTGGCTCTTGTTGCCATTGCTTTTGGTGTTTTAGTCATGAAGTCCTTGCCCATGCCTATGGCCTGAATGGTACTGCCTAGGTTTTCTTCTGGGGTTTTTATGGTTTGGGGCCTAACATTTAAGTCTTTAATCCATCTTGAACTGATTTTTGTATAAGGTATAAGGAAGGGATCCAGTTTCAGATTTCTACAGATGGCTAGCCAGTTTTCCCAGCACCATTTATTAAATAGGGAATCCTTTCCCCATTTCTTGTTTTTCTCAGGTTTGTCAAAGATCAGATGGTTGTAGATGTGTGATTATTTCTGAGGGCACTATTCTGTTCCATTGGTCTATATCTCTGCTTTGGTACAGTACCATGCTGTTTTGGTTACTGTAGTCTTGTAGTATAGTTTGAAGTCAGGTAGCATGATGCCTCTAGCTTTGTTCTTTTTGCTTAGGATTGTCTTGGCAATGTGGGCTCTTTTTTGATTCCATGTGAACTTTAAAGTAGTTTTTTCCAATTCTGTGAAGAAAGTTATTGGTAGCTTGATGGGGATGTCATTGAATCTATAAATTACCTTGGGTAGTATGGCCATTTTCACGATATTGATTCTTCCTATCCATGAGCATGGAATGTTCTTCCATTTGTCTGTGTCCTCTTATTTCACTGAGCAGTGGTTTGTAGTTCTCTTTGAAGAGGTCCTTCACATCCCTTGTAAGTTGGATTCCTAGGTATTTTATTCTCTTTGAAGCAATTGTGAATGTGAGTTCACTCATGATTTGGCTCTCTGTCTGTTATTGGTGTATAGGAATGCTTGTGAGTTTTGCACATTGATTTTGTATCCCAAGACTTTGCTGAACTTCCTTATCAGCTTAAGGAGATTTTGGGCTGAGACAGTGGGGTTTTCTAAATATACAATCATGTCATCTGCAAACAGGGACAATTTGACTTCCTCTTTTCCTAATTGAATATCCTTTATTTCTTTCTCTTGCCTGATTGCCCTGGCCAGAACTTCCAACACTATGTTGAATAGGAGTGGTGAGAGAGGGCATCCCTGTCTTGTGCCAGTGTTCAAAGGGAATGCTTCCCGTTTTTGCCCATTCAGTATGATATTGGCTGTGGGTTTGTCATAAATAGCTCTTATTATTTTGAGATACATTCCATCAATACCTAGTTTATTGAGAGTTTTTAGCATGAAGTGCTGTTGAATTTTGTCAAAAGCCTTTTCTGCATCTATTGAGATAATCATGTGGTTTTTGTGTTTGGTTCTGTTTATATGATGGATTACTTTTATTGATTTGCGTATGTTGAACCAGCCTTGCATCCCAGGAATGAAGCCCACTTGATCATGGTGGATAAGCTTTTTGATGTGCTGCTGGATTTGGTTTCCCAGTATTTTATTGAGGATTTTTGCATTGATGTTCATCAGTGATATTGGTCTAAAATTATCTTTTTTTGTTGTTGTGTCTCTGCCAGTTCCTGACAGCATTTTCAAATTGTGTGATATGCACATTAAAAGGCTGACATTTTGAAGTTAGACATCTTGTAGTTAGAAATATCAATCTCTTACAAAAATTGCTTTTCCAACAGAACAATCAATATTAAAATTACAACTGAATTTTCATTGTAGTTATACTTTATTATTTCCATCTTTCATGAATGGAAAGGCACTAGAATAACATAATCCTCTAGAAATCCCAGAGCTATGTCTGCTAGGTTCAAATTTGTTATTGAGATATTTGTGACTTAGAAGAGCTTGTCGTGCAAATGACAATGGTGATACTTCCTTCTCCCATGCAGGTAGCTCTTGCTAGTCACTAATCAGCAATGGGGTCACCTGGGACCCATTCTGAGAGCATTGGTTTGCTTAGGATGGCGATCTCTCTTCTAGTCCTCCATACAGAACTTTCCAGCCACCCTTCAAGTCCTGCTGGAGATCAGGAGGAGGTTTGGTAGGGCAGGAGAGAAATAGCTGTGACTTAGACATTTCCTGTTTTTGCTGCCATTTTCTCTAGAGGAGCTAACAAATTTTAAGTGCCTAACAAGGTGGCATACATTCATTTTGTGCTTACATTTTGTGCATACATACATTTTGTGCCAAGAATATAAGAAGTATTTAAAATCACATTTAAGTCCTCCTACATGGAGCTCTGTTTCTCTCCACTGTACGCATAATGAAATGAACCCTTGGAGAGGTCACATAATTTGTCTAAAATCATCTATTTAATAAATAATAGTACCTAAGAACTCTGAAATAGGACTGTTGTGCTGCTGACATGCTTTGGTGGGCTGCTTTTTCACATATAAACTCACAGAAAATACTGGAAATCTAGGAATTTTGTTGTTGTTTTTCTAAGTAATGTATACCCCCTTTGATTTTTCTCAACCTTTGTATTGCTCAGCATAGCCCACAATACAGATATGTAGGGAGCTTGCTGGCTGCGTGGGGATACCCTAGGAGGGACTGCACCTTGATACTGAAATGAAAAGAAACTACAAGAAAAACCCATACTGGCGATTTAGTTTAAAACAACATCTCAAAGGTCTTTGAATTGTATCATCAAAGGGCTGAATTGTATCCCCTCCACTAAATTCATACATTGACATTCTAACCCCCAGTACCTCATAATATGTCTGTATTTAGAGACAGGGCCCTTGAAGAGCTGATTAAGGTAAAATGAGGTCCTATGTGTGGGGCCTACTTAATCCAATATGACTGGGATCTTTAAGAAGAGATTAGGACATAGACAGAGGAAAGACACAAAGAAAAGACAGCCACCTACAAGCCAGAGAGGGCCTTGGAAGGAACTAACCCTACTAGCTACTTGATCTTGGGACTTCTAGCCTCCAGAAATATGAGAAAAATAATTTCCGTTGTTGAAGCCACACAGCCTGTGGTACTTTCTTATGGCAGCCCTAGCAAACCAATACTAATGGAGTTGCATAACTGCTGATATCTAAAATTAAGAGCATTCCTAATTATACAATGTTCCTCTTTAAAAATCAGAAATGTAGGCAAGAAAATCAAACATAAATAGTGAAAGGTTGAATGTAGAAAGAAGAAATTCAAGTTATTTCTCAAACTATTTTATTATACTGGAATGTTATTGCTCCAAATGCAACCTGGCTGAGAGGATCTATGACTGAGCCCTTGAAATCTTGTTATTCGGGGTAGCCTAATGATGCTTAGGATTGCACTACTTGAGCTCAAGGCAAATCAGAGAAGCTGTCTAGATTTCTTCACGCAGCTACTTGGATACACTTACCGTGGAAAGACTTTAAACCTTTTCAGATTCTCACTAAATTTTCTGCAGGTGGACAAATACAGAAATACCTGAGAAATGATGGCAATGCCTGCCGTTAAAGTCAGAAGAAAACATGTGTATGACTAATGGAAAGAGAAATCTCAAAAGAAAGAAAAAAGCTGAAGAATGAATTAAATCTTATCTGAAGACATTAGAAGGGATTGTCTATGACAAAAGTCCCTTTGACTTTCAAGTCACTACTTATTTTTAAAGTGCATGCATAGTACTATAGGGGAAAATTAGAATTAGAAATTGACTTTGACCTCAAATATCTCTTGATAGGCTATGAGAAAAAAGATGCAGACACAAAAAGCCATAATTTCATGAGGCTTCTGTAAAATCTGTAAGGGCAGTCAAAATGTAATAAAATCAAAGAGAGCAGCAAAAGTAATTGTGGCTAGGGGCACTGGATGAGACAGCATTCACTCAGGGTCTGGAAGGCGACAAGTGGGGTTGCAGAGGGAAGAACTTTCAAGGCAGACAGACTAACATAAGAAAAAGCAGATGTTGAATGCAAATCATGTTTAGCAGAAAAGTAGAAGTCTAACATGTTTACATAAAGGGAAGCATGAAGAGGATGGGGCCCTTCACCTTGCACTTAAAGGACCTGGGTTTGAATCCTGGGTTCTCCATTTAGTAGATTTATGTCCTCCATCTTCCTGAGCCTCAAATTTCTCATCTGTGAGAAGGAGATACTGAATCAAAACCTCACAATTGTGAAGATTAAAAGTGAGTAACCTGTGTGAAATCTCCACCTAGCAAAGACTGATATGCAATAAAAACTCAGTATATGTGAGAGGAACCTATAGGATTATGTAAGAAACAAGGAACCAATAAAGTTTTTGAGCACACAAATGAGATGACCAGAACTAGACATTTGGAAATTTATCGCAGCAATATTGTGTGTAGAATGAATTAAAAGACAGCCATTGTACAGGAAGGAAGACCCAGTAGGAGAGTATTACACTAGTGCAGGTTGGAGGCAGTGAAAGCCTGAACAGTGCTGCTGGGAATGAGCAGGAGGGGATGTGGGTAAGAGGCTTCATTGGAGAGAAAATGGCACTGGGATAGGCACCCTGGGACATGCACTGCTGTTCAGAAAATTAGATTCTGGTTCTGTGGCAGAACCAAGTAGACACGACCTCTATTGAGCTACCTCTGTGAATTCTCAGTTTGCACATCTATAAAATAAAAAGATTGGAAAATCCCTAAGTATTCCTAGAGCACTAAAATGCTTCATGCCTATTTGAATCAATAGAACTTGTTAAGCTGATTAAATGAGAAAGTAAAGAGCATAAGGGAGATATAAAAATTGAAGATAACCTGAAACAAGTGGTAAATATGAGTTAGTGGGTCAGTAGATGATGGCATTACTAAGAATATGGAAGAGACGAAAAGGAACAGGTTTGGAGAGAATATAATGAATGTTATTTCTAACAGTTTGAAGGACTGTCCTTCAAACAATTAGGTAGTGTTGTGAATATTCAAAATTTCATTATTTTAAACTATCTCCTCTACCATGTAAACATAAGCTTTTAAACAAATGCTTTCTCTTTAACTTATAGATTCTGTTCATTGGAGATTCAACCAACAGAGGGATCATGTACTATCTTATCGAAAGGCTGAATGAAACGTTGCAGGAATGGCAGAAAGTACATGGCACTAAATTCTATCACAACGTCAACGGTGGGAAGACTTTGATCAGTTATTCCTACTATCCCCAGTTCTGGATAAGCCCTTCACTGAGACCAACATTCGAAAATGCACTTGAACACCTGTTGCAAAGGTACAATGAAACTATAATGAAAGACACAAAGCCCACAAAGTACTGATGTTCTACGAGCAGTCATCACTGCTCAACTGCTCACTGTACATCAAATGTGCTCAAAAGGTTAGATATCAAGTAAGGGGGTGGAAAACAAGTTGGAAATTACAAGGAGTCTTATGATCAAGATGCCTGATACAGTGAAATGTGAAGCAGTGCCTTTACAATGTTCACCTTCTGTTTTAGGGCAACATGTGTTGTTTTTCTTTCTGGATTTCAGATCACGCCCCCTAGAGAATACTGTCCAGACTGTATTGGTTGTTGGTGGAGTTCAGTGGCTTAATTCCAATCACCTGCAAATTATTCACAAAGTTTTGAAGAGGTAAATGTCTGTAACAATAATTGTCATTAGTATTCTAAGTCAAAAAAGTTACTATGGATGTGACTGAGTTTTATCCAGATTTTATTTAAAGAACAACTTATAATTTAGCATTAAGTATTTAAAGTCTAGTTTAAAATACTAAAATAAAATAGTCTTGTATCCAGTCACAACATAGTTGTTCATTATCCAGATTTACATTTAGTAAAGATCAAAATGTGTCTGACACCTAAAACTCCATCTTTAAAAAAAAACCGTAATATACATCACATATATAAAACGAGCATTTAGTCTTATATTGCCAATTATCACATTCTGAAAGAATTCTATGGTATTTGTTTATATAAACAACAAACATCCAGAAGTGTAATTAAAGTTACTGACTTTAGAATTATAATTATCTCATTCAGGGAAAATTTACTCAATATCCTAGTGATCATCAAAACTTTGGGAATTGGATTTCATCTGCCAGTGGATGGAGTACATTTCTTAACACAGGTAAGCACATTTCCTCCAGGCTAGGTGAATTATAAGGATCCCTGCTGGAAAAAGACCCATAAGGCACTATATAATATTGAGTTATCTTCATGAAAGTAAAAAAAAGAGAATATACTTAAGGGTTATGTATTTTCAAATAAATTATAATTAATTTCATATAGCCCACAAATATGTTGTAAATAATCCACTGACTTAATAAAAGAGGACACAGAGTGTTGAACTATGCAAAAATAAAGAGCTGAGGGGTCTTACCCCACCAATTTTACATACACTTTTAAAGGCTATATTAAAAGTATTTCCTTTTGTCAGGTTCATGCTGAAACCACAAACAAAATTATCACTATCATGAGTCCTTTGGGAAAGAGCGGTCTTTTTGAAGATGACTTCAAACTGATTGCTTTATTTTAAAAATAGTCTTTGAAGTAGTATCATTGGTTTTTGCTGTAATTGGATATTAATCAATGAAAAGAGTAGGGGTCTCTGGCCAGTTGTTATAGAAGAGGGTAAATTAGCCTCAGCACTAAATAGAAGTTTCAGAAAAGAAAAGAAACATAGGATCTGTAGGGAAGAGAACCAGCTGCTCTTGCTTAAGCTATGGGACTTCTGGAGCAGCCAGAATTATTGGGCAATTTCAGAGTAATGACTCTGGTGAGCACTGGGAATTGGGGAGACAGAAAGCTGTCCATTTAATATGTAAGGAGGTTGAGATTTATATTTTTGTGTCTCTGTTGAGTGCTACTACCTTTCCGCAGCACAGAACACAAGACCCGCCAATTCTTTTCTCAAAAATGTATCTGCCTGGACAGCAGATCTTCTGTGATGTAAAAACAGGAGAACTGGTAGAAAGTGGCCAAGGTACAGCCTCTAAATTCAGCATCTTGGAGTTAGCAGGGGTTAAGGTAATTCAAAATGAGTTGAGGCATTTAACATCTGGGATAGCCAAAGGGTTTAAGACCATTGGGGATCAAGAGAGGGGACCTTTGATAATGTCTTCCATGGGTTGAATCCCTTTAATGTTATTTGAAGACTACAGGTCGAGGTCCACAATTCATTCTTGAGGACTCCAGTAGCTCTACTGTGCCTCTTTGGTTGTAGCTCCTCACAGTAATTGGCATACTTGTGGCCTTTGCTTATACTTAGGTTACAATTCAGAATCAATTCACCTCAGCAAACATTTCCTCAGCACTTACTATGTGCCAGATACTGTGTTAAACATTATGACTGCCACCTGAACTTTGATGGTGCTCATCAATCTTTTCAAACTGAGTGAAGACAGAAGGAGAAAAGAAGAGGAAGGGCAAAGAACAGAAAAAACGAAAAGGGGATAATTGCAAGTGAAGGCAGAAAACAAATTCAAACTTTTCATCATGTGCTCATAGAGCCTTTCAGTGCTGGCTTCCTTCCTTCTCTGTAGACTTTATCCCTTGTGACCAGTGCATATGCACACAAGCGTGTGTGCACACACACACATTCACACTCACAACACCACTGAACTCAGTCAGGCTGAGCATATTTCAGTTTCTCAAGCACACCGTGCTCTCAGTCACCTCCAGACCTTTGAAATAAATCCCTGCTCCTTCTACTTGGAGTTGACTCCTCCACCACTCCCTCGTCTGGGTAACTTCCAGTTCCTCTTCAAATGTTAGCTTACATGCTAGTTCTTCAGAGAAAACCTCTTGACACACTAGACTGGGTTGGCTGCTCCTGCCATGAGCTCCTGTAACAGTGTCTTATGTCCTTACTCATGTCACTCAGCACCTATACTCCTTGGCTGTCTGTCTCCTGTGCTGGATGGTAATTGTGAGAGCAACAAGGGAGATGTGGGTTAGGGGAATTTGTTTGGCTTACACTGACAGCCCAAATGCCAAATACAATTCTCAGCACATAGTAGACCATCAAAAAATGCCTGGTGTACAAGTAAGTGTAGCAAGCGTAGTATCTAACAGGTGATTTTCCAACCCTTTGTCCTCTCCCTTCCTCCCACTTCTTGTAGGCCCCAGTATCCATTGTTTCTATCTTTATGCATATTCAATATTCAGCTCCCACTCATTAGTGAGGAGATGCAGTATTTGATTTTCTGTTTCTGCATTATTTAGCTGATGGAAGGCTCCAGGTGCATCCATGTTTCTGTAAAAGACGTGATTGTGTTCTTTAGGCTGCATAGTGTTCTGTGGTAAATACGTACCACGTTGTCTTTATCTGATCAACTTTTGATGAGCACCTAGGTTGGTTCTATGTCTTTTCTGTGGTGAATAGTGCTGTGATGAACATACAAATCCATGTCTTTTTGGTAGGATGATTTATTTTCTTTTGGATACATATCAAGTAATGGGATTGCTGGGTCAAATGGTAGCTCTATTTTTAGTTCTTTAAGAAGCCTTCAAACTGCTTTCCACAGTGGTTGAATTAATTTATGTTTCCATCAACAGTTTATAAGCATTCCTGTTTTGCACAGCCTCACAAACATCTGTTAATTTTTCACGTTTCAGTAATAGCCATTCTGACGGGCTCAAGATGGTATCTCATGGTGGTTTTGATTTGCATTTCTGTGATGATTTGTGGCATTTAACATTTTTTCATGTCTGTTGGGTGCTTGTATGTTGTATTAGTCTACTTTGCATTGCTATAAAGAAATACCAGTGACGGGGCAAATTATAAAGAAAAGGGGTATTTTGGCTCACTGTTCTGCAGACTATACAAGAAGCATGGCACCAGCATCTGCTCTGGTGAGGCTTCAGGAAGCTTACAATCATGACAGAAGGCTAAGGGAGAGCAAGTGTGCCACATGACAAGAGTCACATAAGGAGAGAGGGAGAAGGAGAGAGATAGAGGGAAGGTGCCAGATTATTTTAAACAACCAGATCTTGTGTGAACTCATTACTGTGGAGAAGGCACCAAGCTCTTCATGAAAGGTCCCCTCCCATGACCCAAACACCTCCCACTAAGCCTCACCTTCAACACTGGGGTTCACATTTCAACATGAGATTTGGAGGGGACAAATATTCAAATCATATGTCTTCTTTTGAGAAATGTCTACCACTTTTTAATGGGTTTGTTTTCTACTTGCTGATTTAAATTACTTATGGATTCTAGATATTTGAACTTCGTTGGATCCATAGTTTGCAAATATTTTCTCCCATTCTGTAGATTGTCTGTTTGCTCTGTTGATAGTTTATTTTGCTGTGCATAGCTCTTTAGTTTAATTGGGTGCCACTTGTCAGTTTTCGGTTTCATTACAATTGTTTTTAAGGTCTTGGTCATAAATTCTTTGCAAAGGCCAGTGTCCAAAATGGTATTTACTAGTTTTCTCCTAGGATTTTTATAGTTTGAGGTCTTACATTTAAGTTTTTAATCCATCTTGAGTTAATTTTTATATATGGTAATAGGTAAGGATCCAGTTTCATAATTTTGCCTATAGAGAGCCAGTTATCCCAGCAGTATTTATTAAGGGTCCTTTTCCCATTGCTTATTTTTGTTGAGTTTGTTGAAATAAGTTGGTTGTAGGTGCAGCTTTTTTCTGGGTTCTATATTCTCCTTCATTGGTCTATGTGTCTGTTTTTGTACCAAAACCATGCTGTTTTGGTCATTGTAGTCTTATAGTATAGTTTGAAGTCACATAATGTGATGTGTTGGCTTTATTCTTTTTGTTTAGGATTGTTTTGGTTATTAGGGCTCTTTTTTGGTTCCACACGAATTTTAGAGTAGTTTTCTCTAATTCTGTAAAAAATGGCATTTGTAATTTGATAAGAATAGCATTAAATCTGTAGATTGCTTTCGGCAGTAATGTTAATTTTTAAATTGAGAATTTTAGATATTTTATGAGTCTTTGTGGGCAATAAATTTAACCACTTTTTACTGAAGAATTTCAAAACTGTGTGCCACAATAGATATTGCTGTTTTATACATAAATGATTACATGTATGTTTTGAATTAAAAAAAAAAATAGAACACATCTTTATTTAAGAAATGCATGTGAAATTCCTTATCTTACACTATGACTAATCCCAGTAAAAAAGACATTTACATAATTTCCACCTAATTTATTGAATCATAAAACAATCCTCTGTTAATAAAAACTTTCATTCTTCTGCTTTCCAATCAGAGTGAAGTACAGAACTTATGGAAAGAAAATTTGATTATTCTGGATACTGCAAAAAAATATGGCTATGAAGTCGTTGACACATTCACTATAACAATGGGGCGTTACAAAGAGTTTCTGCAGGGAAAGTGTGGATGTCATTTCCATGAGGTATTTGTGCTGGCTTTCTGAGTTTTATAGCTTTTGATTTTTTAAATTGTTTGTTGTATCTTTAATTGTATTGTCACTCTTATTTTGCATGAAACAAAAAACAATGTCAGATGAAGATTAAATGATATGTTCATCATCACTCAGCCAAGGCATATAGTAACCACAACTTTAGCTCTACCAAATGAGATGTTAAAAAATTTATGTTTGTTTAGACACTTCAAAACTAGGACAATTGGTCAATGCAGGCAGGAATATGGGAACCTGGAGGGCACTTATTTTCTCTAACAGACTTCAAGCCTTCCCATCAGAAATTGCATCCAAAAAAAGGTGGCAAAGTTTTTCAGTAGCAGCAGCTTGCAAAGCATGACTACTTAATGTGCTAAACTAAGGAATAACATTCTTTCATTGCCTAGTCCAATGCATAACAGGAGGACCTGTGTTTTGAGTAGGGTCCCCCCCACCAGAGTGAAAATGATTTTATCTTTAACCTATAAATAGGTTTAAGCTGATAAGGTGATAGCCTAAAACAATTTTATTCTTTTTCCTCCTGTCCTTTTGAACCCTCTGTGGATTACTTCCTCCCTAACCCTTGAGTAAAAATCTTGGTCAGGACCCGTAAGTTTAACACCACTTTCAGATAACAAAAAGGTCTCCAGTCACCTTCAGGCATAGGAGTATCACATCAATACTAAAAGTGTCCCATTCTGGGTCATAACTACATAAGTCATTTCCCTCCCCCAGCTTAGGTTTCCCTCAGTCTCAAAAGCCCAAATCAGGGGAGAGAAGGTAGGAGACTTACTTGCCATTTCCCCATCTTCATTCTCTACTTTTATTCTTCTACCTTTTTTTTTTTGCATTGATCAGAGTAGAGACGGGATGCTAAGGACAAGAAGAGTCTTACTTGACTAGTACAAGCATAACCCCGTGATGTGCTCTCTGAGTCTAGCATGCTACTTCTTTCTTTTATGGGTGCTTTTGTGAATTGCCTTGGAGAGCCCCCTCCCCACCAGTGAAACTTTCTGGCTCCAACTTCCTTGATGGCAGTAATACCTCTCCTCCAACTAGATCCCTTTTTTGGCTCTTTGGTATCCAACTGTCCATCGCTCTGTTGAGGATCATGTTGCTCCTCCAGGCATCTTTTTGGAAAATATTCAAAATAGCACTAGGCTTGCTATACTTTGAACTATAGAAATAAATACACTTGATCTACAGAAATATTAATGCGTTGTTGCTCTGTTGTTGCTGGAAATACAGTTAGTTCCCAGTGAAGCTTTCTCTCTCACTCTCTCAGCCACTCTAAAGCTGATCTGTAGCCACAGTATATCATACCAGTTCTAATGTTTCCCAAACCCGAAGAGACATGTGTTCGGCTCTCCTGAAGGCTCCTCTCACTTGGCTTAGAGCAAAAATAAAACCACACCCCAATGGGGAAGAGGGCCCCAAAACATTGGAAAGCCCACACAGAAATTCCATCCCTTCCTCTTTGCCTCACAACTCTTTTGGTGAGACAAGGATATGGAAAACTGGATTTTGTCCATACTTTTGCAAGTCTTGCATAGGTTGTCCAGAAATTTCTTGGAATATGAGTTTTCTTGGCTTCTGTTATTTGTTGTAGGTTTCAGGAGATTCAGCTGAAACTGAGATGAAAAGCGCCTCGTTTTATCTTTCTATCAGATATTGATTCACTCTTTCTTGCTTGCCTTCTTTTGTAAACCAGGATGCATTTATTAGTGGGTTGACTAGTGAGGTGACAACTAAAGTTTCCTTCTGATTCTGTTTTTCAGCCCTTAGCTGACTGTCAGAATCCATCTTGATGGGCTGGGTGCGGTAACTGACACCTGCAATCCCAGGACTTTGGGAGGCCGAGGCAGGTGGATCTCTTGAAGTCAGGAGTTTGAGACCAGCCTGCCAGCATGGTGAAAATACTCTACTACTAAATATACAAAAATTAGCCGGGTGTGGTGGTGTGTGCCTGCAGTCCCAGCTACTGGGGAGACAGAGGCAGGGGAATCACTTGAACCTGGGAAGTAGAGGTTGCAATGAGCTGAGATAGCCACCACTGCACTCCAGCCTAGGTGACAGAGCAAGACTCCATCTCAAAGAGAAAACAAAAACAAAAAACAAAAACAAAAAAACCATCTTGGTCCCAAGAGTCTTACAAATACTAAAAACATTACTGACACTGCAGTAGTTGCTCTGTATGATTTACAGGTGGATTTACATTATCCTTTAATATGACCAAATGGAACTGCATTTCAGAGAAGTGAAAGCCTGCAGCCACAGTACAGAACATGACATTTTAAATTTTGACCTAGCAGCTTGAAGCTGGATCATGCTGTTGTGAACATATTTTAAGCTGTAGGATACTGTGTGTCTACTAATGTCTTCCACAACCTTTAGAGTATTTATCCTATTTGCAAAAGTCAAGACTTAGAAATGCAAAGGCAGTAGCCTGGAAGAGAAAGAAGCAAAGATCTTGCAGCTGAGCCTGCTCAGGATCACAGCTGGCTAAAAAAGCAAGCCAGTGGTTGCCAAACCCACAGAAAACAGGGCTTTTGAAAGACAGCATATAGATTGATTTTGTTCATCTTTTAGAAAGAATTTTTATTTGTTTATTTATTTATTATTACATAATGTGTCTTCAATTCATATTTTTGTGGAAAGGTGTCCACTTTTCTTTTTTTAGCTTTAGTCCTCTGAAAGCCTAAAGAGGAAAATGTCCTCTAATAATTTCAACATGTCTCCAGTTAAAAACAGAAGATGTCCTTCCCACATGGTTATATGTCTCTCCCACCACAGCATCAACCAGTTCACATTAATAGCCATTGTATTCAGAAACCACAAAAAAGGCTCTTTGAACCATCAGCACTAGAATATTGGCTTATAATTATTACTGATTAAAATTATCGTTAAGTTGCATAGTAACAATGCTTCAAGCATGTCAGGTAAAGTCATTTTGCTTATTTGACTTTATAGTTTTTGGGGTGTAATTATCACATGCAACTCACTTTTTCTTAAGTCTATTTCTGATGTAGGCAGTCTTGATAGCAAGCCATGTAAGTCTCCCCCAAATTATCTTAATTGATTTCAGAGTAGTGTTCTCTATTTTGAAGTTTTAATGTTTAAGCTAAAATAAGCTTCTGCGAGCATTTGCCTTTCCAGTCACAACATAATCTGATATGATCATCTTTCTCAGACTCCCTTCATCATAAAGTCTCTAAATTCATTCATCACTTAGGCAAAATTATTGCTTAACTCTTGAACAGTTTGTACCCCTTGTACTTCAGGAAGTCTCTAGAGCTGACACTGACATCTTATAATCTTTCTAAATCATCACCTAACATCTTAAGAGTGATGTAACAGCAATGTTAGCTTATTACAAGCAATCTAAAAAATCTAAAACTCTTTATAGAGGATGGTTTGCTAATGAATGCAGCAAACTGGAAAAAAAAGTTGATGACTGGTCTCATGTCTAAAAAGTAAAAGGGCAAAAATTCTGTTGTTAATCATTTTTCCCCTTTGTGCTCATCTTATGAGCCTGGCAAATAAAGCTTACCATAAAATACTAGCAAGAGTTGAAAAAAATTGTGTTAGAACCATAACAATTCTGGCTTGGGGGACTTTTATCTTCTGATGTTCAACTAAACTATTCCCACAATAGATTCAAGGATACCTGAGAAGGGTTGGTATAATCATTACAGTAAGATACTGATGTTTTTTCTTTGGTTTGTGGTTAGAATTCTGTCATAGACATAACAAACTTGCTTCAGTGAGCTCTTACCGCCATAGGTGAGATTAAAGGTCTTGAGGTGTTTCCTTCATCTGTCAAGGCACCAAAAGAGAATATGTTGCCACCAAGAATCCATAAACAATTTCCCAACTGGTGTGCATCAATTTTGACTAACATGTTCCTGCTGATTGGAAAAGCAGGTGTTTCTTTTTATGAGTGGAAATGGATTACGTTTTCCCAATGTTTACACAGGACAACAAACAGGATCCAGGTAGCTCTTGCCCAAGAGAAATTTTGGATGGTGCCTTCGGTTATGTGGCAAACACCTACTGTGAACAAGCTAAAACCTGGAAAAAATACAATAATGTTATCAACACAAACCTGACTGCAGAAGGGAAATATCCATAACCAATTGATATGTTATTATTCATTAGTCTAATAGATTATGCAGACCTTATATAATATCTTCCATTTTTGGCAAATGTAGCTACAGCTTTTGACTCAGTCAACAAGAAACATCTGGCATCAAACTGCCACTAATACCAGCAGGTTTCCTTTGATTCTGGTATTATAGAAAGAAGAAAAGAAGGGAGTTTTGGTTCTTTGTCAGAGATGGTTTCCCACTATTAATTTATCTTAACCCTATAATCTTTATTATTTAATCTTAATTAAATAAACAAAAGATTATTCGGCCTAGAAATAAAGTGTTTTACTTTCTCCTTTAAACTTTACAAGTTTACTATCTAACCACGATTTAAACATTTAAAAAAAGAAACTTTAAATTCATCTGGTTAAAAAAAAAAAAAACAAATAATGACTCTTAGGAAAAAAAAAAAACAAAAGATCCAAATTTAACATAGTTAGCTGATATAGAAGAACCCAGAATTTAACTTTCAGCATGGCTACTTTTAATGAATTAGTATGGAAATTTAATTCAATAGATATAGATATTTTTAAGTATCTACTCTATCTATCATCTATCTATCTATCTATCTAGCATTGTACTACTGCTGTAAAGTGAGTTAGAAGAGCATTTTACAGGACTCCCATAAGTATCTCAAAATCAACACATCCTTAAAGGAAGAATTAATATTTCCTTTAAACTTTCCTCCCCTCTAGTATTCCCTAATTTACTCTATCACACTGCCATTTATAAACTAGAGCCATCTTCGACTTTTGCTTATCTTTCTCCAGTCCCTTCACAACCCCTAACCAGCCAGTTACCAAATCCTGTTTACATGCTATATGTTTTCCACGTCTTTCTCCTACA